TTAAATGAGTTAATTTGAAGATAACAAAAATGTAGGGTATATAGGGGGTGTGAATTGATGGAATAAAGGGTATAGAAGTCTTTTTGGAAACTTATGGATTGGAAGCACTTGAATGAAATGAAATGGGGAAAAGTGCTTCCAATCCATAAGTTCATATACTACTTAGAACAACAAATACAAAATATTGATGATAGCGAAATCAAAACCTATATTCAACAACAAATACAAAATATTGATGATAGTGTTATTCAAAAATATAGCCGCATTAGAAAAGAATCTCAAGGAAGAAAATAAATCATATTATTACAATCTTCCATTTAGAAATATGATTGAAAAAGATGTTTCTATTACTACTAATATTGATAAATCAAGAGAGTATGAATATAAAATATATGGATTTACAGCAAATATAAGAGAATTTTCTGTTCTAAACTTAGATAAATCCTATAACAAGTTTGATATTATATTTAACCTAATATTTTAAACCCATCTCCTTTTTGTTTGGCTTCTAATCTTTTATTTCTGAGACTTCTAATTTTGCGCAATTCTTCTAATTAATTTTTTTGTTGGACAGTTTTTGAAATGCTGTGACCAGTATTGATTTATCATTACCATATTTACAGAGACGGCCGCTATATTGCCACATAAGGTAGTAATTATTAGTGTTGTGTTTTTTCGTTCATTATTCCATCTAATGAAGGGATTGTCCTGAAAGCTGTCCACCTCCCTTAAGGTTCTCCTACCATGGACAGAGTCCTGAAAGTTGAGCTACTTCAAATCCAATGACAGCATCTTATCCCGCTTTATTCGAGTCCAAAAATTGAAAATATTAACACCAAGTTGTTTTTAGGAAGATTTCGCCTTAAACAGACTTGAATTAACACATGGAATAAATCTTGAATGTCTTCCTTCTCACAGAATTGGTTACACGTATTTGAACAGAAATGCCTTAATTAATTCTACTAGACTTTCGACTAATTTTCGCTCTGCAGGATTAATAATAAAGGGCAGGGAATTTATGTTGAGATAAACTATGACATAACACACATCCCAGTTAATACTACGAGACCTTCGAATACTTTTAGCTCTGTAGATTTAACAAAAAGGGGAGAATTTATGTTGTTCACTATACCTAACCATCTGGTGATAACATGTTTGTTCGTGAAGTAAATCATGTCCTTTCTACAAGACAAAGTAACTAAATAGATGATCTCCATATATCATTATCTGTAGAAACACACACCCCAGTTAATACTACGAGACTTTCGAATACTTTTCGCTCTGTAGGATTAACGAACTGGGGAAAGGAATTGATATAAAGGATTTATCTTTATTATTCTTGTATGGAGGAACATCTAAGAACTGGTTCTGGCTTTGTCATAAGTTTTTCTGCGAAAACACACTCCTTCCCTTCTTATCTCTAACTTCTTTCTTCATTCATTCATACATAGATAGTAGAGTGGATGAGTAACTTATAGTTACCTATGACTACCACAGAAACTCTATTGAAGTGGCATGTATTCCAAAGTTTAATATTTTCATCTCTTAATTATTTGTCAGCTTCCCATGATTTCTTTAAGGGGTAGAATAATTAACGAAATAACATTCCACACTCCCTAATTTGTTAAAATCGTTTCCTTCTGTTGTTTTTGGTTTTCGGGGTTGTGTTTGTGAAAACTATGAAGGATTATTAATGCTGCATTTTGTCAGGTAAACCTAATTATTATTTTATTCGCGTATTTCCAAAAAACAGCGGTTGCGCGCTTCTGGTTTTTTAAAAAAAAAAAATCCATTGTGGTCTGAAGTTTGTTTTCCAAACAGAGTTATCTCCCTTTAATAGTAGTGTTACGTTATTGGAAGTTTTGAGTATGAAATTGTATTAGAAACATTTTAATGAATTGATAATAATAAAGTTGTGTCCGCCTGGTAATAGTAATGGTGATTCATAGGGGTTTTGAGGTAGTTGCTCGTCTAGCAGGGTACTCACAGATATACTGCAACTACGGAGTGTTCAAAGTGGAGTAGTTGCAGCGTATCTGTGAGTACTATAACTACTGGCGTCCGTACAAAAAGTAAGGAAACCAGCAACTTTGTGATTTGATATTTTGAATGGGGACTAGTGTGAGATAGTATGGTATGAAGTTCAAGGGGTTTCTATGGCGGTTAAGCCTCGCAAATTGTCCGTAAACTCTGAGTAATATTCTGATATAGGTCATATATATGTCGATTGATTATTTCTCTAATGTACCACCGTACAAAACGTAAGGGAGACAGCAACTTTGTGATTTGATATTTCGAATGGGGACTAGTGTGGGATAGTATGGTATGAATTTCAAAAGGTTTCTATGACGGCTAAGCCTCGCAAATTGACAGTAAACTCTTGAGTAATATGCTCATATAGGACATAATACACAGTGGTGTAACCTATTTTCGTGGATATAAGGATCCAACACCGAATTTCGTCAAAGTTAAAAAAAAGGAATTTTTTTTTTTTGTCTACAAAATAATTAAAATTGGTTTGTTTCGATTTTCTTTATGAATCCCGCAATATTTCATGAGTAACCAACTCGACAACGGCGGCAAAATGCGTCATCCATTTTCGTGTATAATGTTCGATCTATAAATATGTCGAGAAAAACACGTTGTATGGATACCCAGTGGTATATTTAACTTCTCTTAGTATTTATCATTAATATCAATTCATTATAACTAGTGACAAAGAGCCATGATTTAAAGAAAAAATAGTGACTGACAAAATAAGATACGTAGCGTGATTTATTGCTAAAAGTCATTGAAACAACATTAGAATACGGCCCACATTGTGTTCCATAGAATTTTTCTGCTGACACAGAATCCTCTAGTCGATCACGTGACTTCATTCGTTGGAATATATTCTAGCAGACGACACTTGGAATTCCGATTACAGCTAGGGAAAATTGTGACGTTTGGCAATAATTAAATCCGCCATTTTGTATTTGTCAAAGTATACATTAATACATTTTACCTTGCTTGAAACTACTGGATTCATTCTACTAATGACATTGTAGAGATAACCCATGTTTATGAAAACAAGCAAATGCGGAGGTCACGCGAGGTCGCACATGTAACTTATTAATCATTTCCGGAGATGCACGAAAAATAGGTTAGCACGAAATTAGGTTACTTGACTGTATATGTTGATTGGTGTATGTCTTTAATGGGCCTTAGTAGTATAAGGCCTTTCAATATGGTCGCACTTTCCCCAATTCCATTTCATTCCATGGGGAAAAGTGCAACCATATTGAAAAGCCCCCCCAAAAAACCTAAACACCCCACATTTCATAAATTCTTACACTAAAAAAGACCTTCAATCAATTCCTACATTCCATCAAAAAAGCATATAAAAAATACCCTTATATAAAATAACATCCTTGTTTCGCTTAACATCCGGTTTTAAAATAGCCTCGTTTTAAATAACGTTATTTTTAGTCTAGAAACTTCTAGAAGGGAGATAACTTTTTTTTGGAACAGACCACAATTTCTTCGTTAAATTAATTCGTTTAAAAATAGGATGAGTTTAATTCTAAAACACGAACAACACAAATTCGAAGATTATTCGGGCGACGGTATCTTTTCATCAAAATTTTCTCTAGGTAAAACAATAATTCCAAAAGAAGCTAGCTTTGTTTCAAAAAACAAATCACTTATTTTGTCCGGAGCGAAACCCGTCGGCTCAATCGCGGAAGCCGGAAAGAGTATAAGCGACACAGTGAAACAATCTAACGAGTTGAAAGAATTACAACTAATAAAAGATCTGCGAAACAGGAGATTAGAAGAAAGGAAAGGAAAAGGTTTTAAAGTTATAGGATAAAAAGGATTATTGCTCACGCTCCAAAAACTTATTTTGGTTCAGATATACAGAAATCATTGGGTTCTTTTCCTGAATTTCCATGGGCGAAATATCCCGGAGAAAAACATCTTCCCGGTCATGATTACACCGGTCCAGGTACCAGGTTACATCTGCGATTAGACGAAAACGATAAACCCAAACCCGGCGAAGAACCAGTCAATAGAGTTGACGCCACTGTGCTTAAACACGACATACTATACAGAAACAAAGACATAAACTTCAGACACGAAGCAGACAGACAAATGATAATCGAACTTGAAAATATTCCAAATCCAACTTTCAAAGAGAGAATGCAAAGGGCTCTAATCATAAAACAGTTAAAAGCAAAGATGAAATTGGGCATTTGATTAGCGGATGAAATTCATAAAGAATTTAGAAAAACTGAAAACTTTTTAAAAGTTAAAGTGTTTGAAAAAGATGAAAAATGGTCAGCCGATTTAATTCATATGCCAGTCGAAAGAGGATTTAAATATTGCTTAACAGTTATAGATTTGTATACGAGATATGCTTGGGTTATTCCTTTGAAAAACAAAACAGGATTATCAGTCAAACACGCATTTGAAACGATTATGAAACAATCTAACCGACATCCAGAAAAACTGTGGGTAGATAAAGGAAGTGAATTTTATAAAAATATGAGATCTCTGAGATTTGAAATTTACAGCACGCATAATGAAGGTAAAGCTGTAGTTATTGAGAGATATAATAGAACCCTAAAAAATAAATTATCCAAAAAGTTCACGGAATTGAAATCTCAAATATGGCTTAAAATATTACCAGAGGTTGTAGATGAATACAATAACAAAATTCATTCATCTATAGGTGTCACACCAACATAAGCCTCAAATAATCCAAATATTATAAAGTCAATTAACGCACAACATAACTACGAAAATGAAATAAAGAATTTAAATATTAAACCCAAATTTAAAGTCGGAGATCGAGTTAGTATTTTCAAATATAAAAGCAAATTCGAAAAAGGTTACGTTGGATACTGGACAAACGAAATATTCATCGTTGATAAAGTAAACACCACATCACCTCCGACATATGAATTAATCGATCAAGACAAAGAACAAATCATAGGAAGGTTTTATCAAAACGAACTTCAAAAAACCGTCTTTTAAAAATGAATGAATTTCTCGAAAACAAAGATTATGATGAAGAATTTTATAGAAGATTAAGAAATTTAGATGTAGACAAGCATTTACGCTCTTTTTTTAAATTTAAATGCAAATTTATGTTCAAAATATTATTGAATGTGTTTTATAAAAATGTTATACAAATTTTTTCCAAACACAAACTACGTATATATTTCATCAATTGGGTTTTCAACAATACTTACCACATACTCCTCAAAAAACCGACTTTTAAAAATGAATATCTTTCTCGATAAATATGGAACCGATACAACCACAAACTTTCAACTTATGAGATGGGCGAATGAGTTAATACATCACCGTTTTATTATTGTATGAGAGATGAAATAAATGATCTCAAATATAAGAAAGGTAAATTTTACGCTATAACAAATACATACTTCCGATCAAAAAGGAGTTCATCATTCTGCTTTGTACAAAGACTCTTCAGATAACTTATATTTTTTCGATTTTTATGGATTAGAACCAACTGAAGAGATAGTGCAATTGACTAATAAACCAATCAAATGTTCAACATTTCAAATTCAATTACCGGGACAAAAGTATTGTGGTCAGCTTTCACTTTGGGTTTTATATCAATTAAGTTTAGGAAAACAGTTTGAAGAAATTGTAATAATTTTAACTCAATAAAAATGGCGAACAAGTTTGGATTAGGTTCTTTATTTTTAGAAACTAAAAAACCTAACACAACAGCGTGGATAAATAAAACCAAACCTTACTTCCTAGATCAAATCGGAGACACTCTTCAAGGTGATTTAGATATGAACAATTTCAAAGCAACCAATTTAAAGTCTCCGGAAAACGATAATGACGCTGTTCACAAGATATATTTACGGGAACAAATAAATTCAATTGAAGTAAATAAAAACCATTCAGAAGATAAAATAAGTAATGTTAAAAGATTCTTCAAACGTCAACTAAATAATAAACTTTTTATTAATGATACTAAACTACAACAAGAGCAGGATTAACAAGTTTTATTCAAAAACAATTAGTCAAATATCTAAATTAGATGATAAGATTACAAAACAAAAATTAGACATTCAACAATTAATAGATAACATTCCAGGTGAAAATGAAGATACGTTTCAACAGGAATTAAATGCTCTGAAAACTAAAATTAATAGTGAATTACAAAAAGAACTAAGAAATATTAAACAACAAATACGAAACATAGATGATAGCGAAATCAAAACCTATATTCAACAACAAATACAAAATATTGATGATAGTGAAATTAAAACCTATATTCAACAACAAATACAAAATATTGATGATAGTGTTATTCAACAACAGATAACCACTATTAATAACCTAGTTTTAAAACAGGACAAAAATATAGTCGCATTAGAAAAGTATCTCAAGAAAGAAAATAAATCATATTATTTCAATCTTCCATTTGGAAATTTGGGACGGAATCGTGGTTCTACTTCTAATGATATTGATAGATCAAAAGACTATGAATATAAAAAATATAGATTTAAAGTAAATATAAGAGTATTTTCTTCTAATGTTCTTAGCCCCTATAATATATTTAATATTGATGATCCACCAGCTTTTACTTTTAAAGGAAAACTTTGAATTGAAATTAATTTTCCCATCCAGGTAAAAGTTGATTCATTATTCTTCAAACAAGTCTCACTTTCATCTAATCAATTTAACGCTCAAAAAGTTCTTCAGTTTATCAGTGGTAGAGACAATGTAGAAATTAAAGAATATGAAATTAACGACGAAAACAACTAGGTTAATCACTTATATGAAACTAAAACGAGTGGAAAATATATAGATAGGTTTAGAATGTTAATCATACCAGATAATAAAGAAGATGAACTTTCATTGAGTGGTTTTGATATGATATTGGAGACGAAAACTTCACCATCAATGAATATCATTAGAAATCCAGAACCACAAAAAAAAAGAACTAAAATTTACCAATTATGACTTTTTACGAACGAAAGACTTTGAATACGTAAAACTATATTTTGTTAATAATAGTTATTCATTCGAATATACCTCTTCAACTGATTTATTTACCTCAATCGATATTCATAAAAGTCAACAAGGAAAACAATTTATAAAATTTTCATCAATAATTGAACGTAATGATGGACCAGAAGTTGGAGGTATATACCTGTAGATGTGTGATAAGAATCAATATCGAAAAACCAAAATTTTCAGTTCATCTGAATAAGATTAATGATTCGGAGGAACAGATATCCTTAGTAAGTGTAATAGTTTTTTTTTATTAAATTCGAAATAATTATAACAGATAATGAAAAAATAAAGAATGCACAACTTATTGTGCAACCTATTGTAGATGTTAAACACTTTCCATTTTTTTAGTGTATCAGAAGTTCACTTAATTTAATTACCTAAAAAAATGGAACTAGAAAGCAGACAAAACTACATGATAGAAAAACAAAACGAACTAAAAGAAAAACTAAAACACTTCAACAAATGTAGAAAAACATGGAGTAGAATTGATTCTGTTTTCAAAACATTAAGCACAGTTCTAACAGTAGGGATAAAGGTGGCAACAGCCGTAACTGGTGGATTAATGCTTCCAATAATTGTCCCAACTGTATTAGCCGCGTTCACTGCCGTTCAAACTTCATGTTGTGGATTGATTACTTTAGGTTTTACATCAAACAGAAAGCTCATTATAAAAAGAAAACAGAAATTTTAAATACATATCTTGATAAATTGTTTATATTTTTCGAAAGATCGAGAGAAGATAAGAACATAACCATTGAAGAATTAGAAAAATTCAATGAAATTTTAGATAAACTATCATCAATAAAAGTTAAAAATTCCTAGTTAAAAATAGTTACTTAAAAACTGTGAATAAAATTGAAATTTTAGACGATGAAACATTCATATCAATTGAACTTTTTTTCAGTATTATTAACCTTATCTCTGATAAATTTGATACATTTAAAGGACAAATTGAATTAGATGGAGAGATATTTCAAGATGGAGAACACAAACAAAAAATTAAATTTGTAGGCTTTAATGCCAAAACTTTTAAAACCGGATGCTTCTGATTGGTATTTCTCAGGAAAAATCATTTTACGTAGAAACAATTTCAAAGTAATAAAAAGATCAAAAAAGGGTAGTGGTGTTACCCTACTCAAAAAGATAAATGAATATATCGGTGTAAATTGTTATATACCAAGCAATGGATACTGCTTTGTAAAGTGCGTAAATCGTGTTTTAAACGAAGACTACACAAAAGAATTTCAAGATTTCATCAACAGTTTTTCAAAATCAAACAGAAAAGGAGTTATGACAACTGCTAGAATCTGTGAATTTGATAAGAAATTTAATACTTATTTTCAAATTTATATGCCAAAACATAGACATTTTCAACCAAAGAAAGTATCCGAAGAATAAGATTGGGTATTTTACTTACATAAATCACATTTCTGTCTCATTAGAAGAAATAACAAAACCTAAGGCATTAAAGAAATAGAAGATAATTACGATGGAGAACTTGTAAAGATGATAATGCGGTAACGCAAGTTTCACCTTTAAAACTAAACGTTTTTCCAACAATTCACGATGATTGTTTATACGCATGGGATTGCGAAACCTATGGCGAAAAAGAAACGAATAAAGCCATTCCTTATTCTTGCACGTTAATTAATTTAGAAAAAATGTTGGACAGAATAAAACATAACTTTCCACATTTAAATCCCACTGATAGTGTACCAGAAGAATTTTATAATAAATTAATGAATATAGTAGAAATATGTGTGGGTAAAGATTGCATCGATCAAATGTTACAACGTTTAGGAAAAATAGATCAAAAAAGAATAACATTAATTTCTCATAACGGTAGCGGTTTTGATAACTGGATCGTGCTTAAAAATGCGAAAAAACTAACGCAATGTCCACAATGTAACAGCTAGAGGCATTTTGTCTCTACCTTTAACTAATTCATTCACCGATGAATATTTACAGAAAAAGTGGAAAAGACAAAAAAAAATAATGGGCAACTCTAATTATTTACAAAATATTAATTTCCTATGTTCCTATCAACATGAAAAATCTAGTTTGGCGGCATGGGGAAATTCATCTAATCTACCAATGAATTTGAGAAAGATCACCGATTTAATATTGCAAAATACACAGAAGATAATTGGGAATCTTTAAGAGCTTGTTTGAAGAAGTTATGGAAGAAGTTGTATTCAAGAATATTTCCAATAATCTAACGGTTCCTTCTTTATCTTTAAAGGGTTGGTATTATTTATATCATTACAATAAAGAAATGGTTGAAGAAGAATGGTATGAAACTACTAGAATGGTTCCGAAACACACCGAAAAAGAAAACGTAGAAAAGTTTACTCACATACACACCCTTTTATAAGATATTTTATCAGACAATCCATTAAAAGAGGAAGAGTTTCGGCAAATCGAAAATCATTTGAAACGAACAAAATGGATGAAATTTGTAATGTATTAAAGGAGTTTAGTGAAACACCAAGTGATAATATAATTGATTTATTTAAAGAATATAGTAAAAGTAAAAGAGATAAAACGGAAGTTAATTCAAAACTTAAAAAAATAAAATGTACTAAACTAATGGCCTTTGATGCTAACGGTTTGTACGCTTCCGCCATGTCGGATTTAGATAGCGAATATCCGGGAGCAGAAAGCGGTAGACCGTTTCTACCGAAAGAAAATAAAGAATTTGTTAAGCTCTTTAATGAGCAGAAATTCAGACCTAGAACGGTTATTTTAAAAGTCTGGTTTGAATATCCTACCATGATGTTCTTCCAACCCATACCAGCTTAAGATAAAATTACTTTTACGAACAAAAAAAGGTAATAAGGAAAGTGGCACTAAAATCAGGTTCAGAAATGGTTTCTGTTCAGAAGTTTTAACATCGGTCGATATTCAAGAAATTGTGAAAGCCGGTGGACGAATTATTAAAATATTAGATGGTATAGTATACGAAGAAAATTTTAAAATGCCACCATATAGAGATTATATTTTAATTTTGAGAGATCTAAGAAATAAATATAAACGAGAAGGCAATATCGTAGGTAGTAATTGCATGAAATTATTAGGTAATTCATTGTATGGTAAATCTATTCAAAAGGATATAACTACATCGAGACATTTATGGAGTGAAGCAACTTTAAAAGCCAACTTCGATTCACACGTCAAAAGCTATCCTAAAGTAAATGAGACTCAATATTTCATTGAGATAAATGAAGAAGAAAAAGAATTTGACTGTACACCTCCTAAATCTACACGACTAACACCTAGTCATTTGGGATCATTCGTATTATCTCACAGTAAAAAAATAATGAATAATTTTATTCACGTAATAGATGGATTTTATAAGCCGGAAATATACTATACAGATACTGATAGTTTATACATTTCGTCTAGCAATTGGGATAAATTAAATGAAGCTGGATTGGTGTCCGAAAATGATTATTGTAAAGGAAAGAATGATTACGGTGATGGTGGAATTATATATGGTTTATATTTAACGCCAAAAGTTAAATACAATATCATTCTAACTTCCGACGGTATTCTAAAAGAAAAGAAAACGTTTAAGGGTTACTCTAATGATAAGATAGCTGTAGAAGATGATATTCGATTAGCTAGTGGACATGATGTGACGAATGAATTTAAGAAACCATGGGAAAAAAGTTTCACCAATGGAGTAGTTATTCCAAAGGATGATGATAAACAAAAGAAAGTTTTTAGAAGTTATTTGAATCTTGTAAAGAGAAAACCACCAAACAGTGAAGGAATTATGTTTCCTTATAATGATAAACAAGAGTTTAGTTTTGATGAAAACTATGAATTTGATAATTTGCATTACCTTACTATTCATTACATATATATTCATGAAGAGAATGAAGAGTGATTAATTACTCAATAAATTTAGTTCTTTTGTTTTAAATGAAGTTGAATAACAATTTCTTCGTTACCAGAAGTTATCTGAATCTCGTTAAGAGAAAAGCACCGGATGATGAAGGAATCATGTATCCTTATGGTGATAAAGATGACTTGAGTTTGGATGAAAACTACGAATTTGATGATTTCGATTACCTTACTATTCAAGAAGAGAATGAAGTGTGTTAATTTTTTTTGTTTTAAATGAAGTTGTATAACAATTTCCTCGTTACCAAAATCTATAACCTATTTTTACCATCTTTGATTTCCAGATTTATATCTTTAATCTTTAATAAGTATTGCAATGTATATTAATCACATCGATAGCATTCTCGATATTAGCTTTGTGTGGTTCTAAAGTGGATTGCGTGTATATTTGTTTATCAAATCCTAGTAACGTATTCAAAGAATTGTCTACGTTGAAATCAACTTGACTCTTATTTCTCAATATCAATTTTATTTTGTTCAGATTCAAATTACCTTCGAATTCAATATTGTTTTTACCATTTACACTTCCTCCATATTCAGATAAGTATTCGTTAATGGCTATGTATTCGTAGCTTCCTGGTAGTAAACGTATTGTTTTGAATGTAACTCCATTATCTGTTGATATTTTTATTTGGTTATTTTTTTCGTTGATATTTCTAATGGAATTGTAAACAGAGAAATACTTTAATCCCAATTCATATTCTTGATTGTGATCGAGTTCGTACTCATAATCTAGAGACAATTTATTTGAGGTGATAACGAGTAGTTGTTCTTTATTTGGCATTTTTAATCACGCTTTTATAATCATTTTTATCTATAATACCTTTCTCTAGGAGTCTTTTTAGTATACAATTCGCTTCTTTATATTGTCTGTGTGATCGATGTCCTTTCTTCATTACCGCTAATATTACTTGTAATCTATTAAGTAGTTCCTCGTTGTTGTCGGATAAAAACGTTATACCTTGTCCAGATGCCACCATATCATCGAATTCGTCTATTTCTTGTATGATTGGATAATCTTCGGCATAATCATTTGATGCCTCATCATCTGCTTCATCATCTCCATATTCATCAGGAATAACTTTTTTATATATGT